ACAACTTCTATACAACGGAAGGAGACTGCGACCACAAAAAAGGCCACATCATCTTGGCCGATTGTTATGGCGAAAATACGTTTGCTTCATCGACACTGCCAACAAAGGACGCGATATTGAAAACAAAGCCTGGCCTCCCCCTTACAATTCACATGCGCCGTGACCCGAGGTCACTCGTTTCATGTGACCGAGTGGTTAACGTGTCGAGCTTGCACATTGCACAGTCACGGTCCGACTCCCACTGGGGGTCAAAACTGCAGTCGACTGTGTATGAGAACAGCTTTTGGGAAAGCAAGGCTATGTGAAATTCAATGGAAAGTAGCATTGTGGAAAAATTCGACTACCAATCCTTCATCACCTTGAACCAAGTTGGGTGAATACATCTCATGTACGTGAGTCTCTTGCCAGCATTAATTCCAGCGCTGAGGATGTTGGTAAAGTGACGGTCGAAAGCTCGGTCCGTCTTCAACTGAATCGAAGTCAGAGGTCCCGTCGACTGTGTCAACCTGAACATGCTATTGAAACTAAAAGGGACTTTTTCAGTTTTAGTCAGGTTTTTTCTCTGCTTATCACCTCTTAATTACCCGAGCCCCTGTTTGCGTGCAGATGTTGACACACAGGCACACACGCACACATCCAAGTAAAAGTACCATAACCAATAGGAAAGAGAATTAGCGAAACTATTCTATGTCTATTTATGTCTAGACATTTTCTAATTGTTGAGCTTACTTCCCTTTCGAGTGAAAGTGTTTGTTGAAGAGATTCGAAGGTCGGTTCCACCAGAAGACGATGGCGGATTCCTTTTGACCAGCTGTCGATTGGCTTTACTGGAACATTCATGTTGAAGCAGTTTCCGAGGAGATCGCCTTCGATTCCGATGAAAAGTTGCCAAGCTTTCGTCCGTCGTATTTTCGGTATATAAGCAGAGTTTCGAGATGTATTCACCCCATTTCGTTTTAGCTGATGAAGGACTGGCAGTAGAATTTTCCCACAACGATACGAGTAGAGTTGACGTTTTTTCCATTGAATTTGACAGAGCCTTGCTTTCTCAAAGTTTTATTAACACCCCCAGCTGGACCTGGGCGAGGTAGAAGCTGGAGTCCAGCCTAGATGGGAACAACTTTTGGGAAAGCAAGTCTCTGTCAAATTGAATGGAAATGTCAGCTCAAGTAAGATCATTGTGGGAAAATTCGACTACCAGTCCTTCATCACCTTCAACGAAATTCGGTGAATACATCTCATAGAACAGGTCATATGTCAACCTCGAAGCATGTGAGTATGCCTCTCTGTGTATGTGTATGCGTGTGCAGGTGCTCGCATACGTACAAAGCCAAATTACTTTATGCCTCATTAAAAAAACTCAGATATAAAGTATATATACAGCTTTTTAGGGATAAGCCAGCGAGTTTTCTTGACTCGTTAACCTGGATTTGATTGTAGGCATG